AAATGTGACAGGTGGGCATCGCCCTGCACTACTCCTCGCTGTCGACCCTGCTGTGGATTGGAGTCAGTGCCAGGGTCATTTACAAAGAGGCTCTGTGGAGAATACCACGGGAGCCCGAGGGAGAGTCTCCTGCTCCACCTACTCAGCGACCTATGCTCAGGTCAGTGAGCAAGCCACAACTCACCTTCACCCACTTCCTGCACTGTGAGATTGTTGTTTGCTGTCAATATGGTTTATGTTTTAGACAGATGCGGTAGGGCTTTTGCACGGCCACCCAAACTGTGCACCATCAAAGTGGGTCATTGTGCCCAACAACTAAAGTCCCTCTGTTTTTGAGAAAACCTTGGAGTGACATAACAGAGTATTGCTGTCAGGCAAAAAAAAAGCTATAAGCCAGTATGAACTCTGAGTGGGGGAGGGGAGGAATGTATGAAACCAACATAACAGAAGCAGAGGGATTGTCATAAATCTGAGCAGGATGATTCAGGGGGTGCACTGTCTTTTCAAATAGCCCCTTCTATTTCTCCTCCCCCTGTGATCCTGAAGCTGCGATCATACACTGACCTCGCTGACCCTCCCGCTACCCCTTTGTTGCCCACTCAGTCACACGGGACCAGGCTGCAATAAATCCCAGGCTTCTGGAGCCTATACTGACCCTTGTAACACTCTGCCCACTATGAGAGTGAAGGATCACACAGCTCTGTTCAGATTATAGACAGCCAGAGAGACATAAAAACAGAAAAAGGAAAATGACACGGACAATTTAAAAACATTGTAACAGCCAAAGGTCACACAGCATCCTGTGGCACCAACAAGAACTGCTCTTATTTCTCAAACTGCAGCTGGGAACTTGTGTTTGATATATTTTTCTCTATTATTCAAGGTTCTATTTGATAGCTGGTGGAGTTCCTCTTATCATTTGTGGAATCACTGCAGCTGTCAATGTCAACAACTACGGCGACAACAGCCTTTAGTAAGTGCTTCTCTTTTTTTTTTTTTCTTGAACCATTTGGGCCTTTACTTTGTGTTGTTTTGGTGCTGAAGTGAATAATTCTGTGTACTATGTTGAACACACAGACGTGTCCTTGTTTTGCATTGACCCTCCTGACTCTTTTTCTGCCTCTTGCAGCTGCTGGCTGGTGTGGCGCCCCAGTCTGGGGTCTTTCTTTGTCCCTGCTGGCCTAGTGGTGTTGGTGACCTGGATCTATTTCCTGTGCACTGTGTTTCGCCTGAGGCACCGTGTGGCCAAAGAATGCACAGGAACCACCCTGTCCACTCCTGTGACTGAAAGCCAGCCTGCACTGGCAGGAAGCACTAGCCTCCTCTCCACAGACTCAGCGGTGGGACCTATGAACCCTGTTGTCGTGCCAGAGGACCAGTACTCGCTGAAGACACAGTTCTTGGTGCTGGTGTCAACCCACTTCCTGTTTGTGGTTCTGTGGTGTTGTGGAGCCATGGCAATGTGGCTGACAGGGCACACTAGCTTGTTGTTTAGCTGTCTCTATGGGATTGCTGCCACAGTTCTGGGGGTGTTTCTGGTGGTACACCACTGCTTTCGACGTCTGGATGTGCAGGCCTCATGGATGGCATGTTGTCCAGGCTACCGCCGCTCTCATCCTATGTCTACTTACACGCACACCTGCACGACCGGGAGTGGAGTGCAGACCTCTGAGCAGGGATCGCAACTTTTCATCAACTGCCATCCACCAGTTGACTCTCATAACTCCTCATCAGCGCGGTCATCATCCACGCCAAGTGGAATCAGCAGTGTGGGCCCCGGACCCTCCAAGCTCACCAACCTGTTGCAGGTGGCACAAGACAGTCCAAACAACACTTCACGTGCCCCTGTGGGCAACAACACCAGCACCAGTGCTGACAACACCACCAAGCCAACAAACAATGTTCTGCCCATTATTAACTCTGCAGCCCCAGTGCATCCCCAGAGAAGAAAAGTGATTAGCAGAACTAAACAAGGAAGCAGCCAGTATCACCATCGGAGTGAGGGCAGAGGTCACTATCGTCTCAAAGCTCTAAGGACTGCTAGTGGTGGGGGCAGCCTGGGAGCATTAGGACCCAATGGTTTAGAACACCTCAGTTCTTCACATGTTGCTCACAAACAGGCCACGAGTGAGAATGGCAGCATCCACCATAGCCTTTCGGAGAACCAGGCCAGCCCGCTTACCAACGGGAAACGCCCTGGACAGTCAGTGCCGACCAGCCCCTCAGAGGGAAGTGATGGAGGCAGCAGCGGGAGTCGAAAACCCTTCCCCCTGCTGCCTTCTATGGCCAGCAGAGCAGCCATGCACGGCGCTCAGAGACGATGCGCCAGCAGAGACAATTTGAAGCTGGAGCGAGACACTAAGCGCTGCTCCTACCCTTTGAACAGTGTCACCACCACTGTGCCTGGGGCCGCTGCCCCGAATGGCACCCTCAAAAAGACAGCGCTCGAGCTGGAACAGGACATGAGTGGCACAGACCAATCCCAGAGCTCCGTTGGAATGAAGAGTGGTTTGTGGAAAAGTGAAACCACAGTGTAACCTATACTTATATATGAACTTCTATGCATGGCCTTAATGGACTAAAATGATTGGGTTATGTTTTCAATGGTCTCTTGATTATAATAATTATATAATTTAAGATATCAAATCATTAAGGCATCCAGGACGCTAAACTGGTACTTTTTGCCTCTGTAGCATTGAAAGAGTTTGCTGTGAAATGGTAAAAAAAAAAAATGAGGCAGGTTTTTTGCTGTCATTCTCAAAGATAAGATACTCATTTATTTTTAATCATTTCACAAATTACATGATATCTCTAGAATTGGCATATGATGTTGATTTTGGATGTCTAATGAAAGCTTTACTGTTTTAGTTGTGATTTTTCTATGCATATCAACTATAGCATGAAATGGAGTGCAAGATGATCCAGTTCCAAAGTACAGCTGTATGCATTTAATCTGTGGACAACCTTTCACCCTTTTGTTTGCTTCAAGTAATTGTTTGTGTGGGTTCATACATGCTTTTATATGTTCTGTGTGTGTGTGTGCGTGTGTGTGTGTGTGTGTGTGTGTGTGTGTGTGTGTGTGTGTGTGTG